GATGCTGAAGTTTAAAAAATTACACTAAAAAACGCTAATATTCGCCATTTTTAAAAAACATTTTACATTAAAGTTTACATTTTGAAATTGATCATTTAGTTAATCTTTTCATAATTAAGCGACCCGGTTTTAATTGTCGTCAAAAATAAATGTTTTTATGAATATACTTTGTATATTCATATATATGAATTCATTTATATGAATTCATTTATATGAATATACTTTGTATATTCATATAAATTTATAGATTTTTAATTAATTTTTCAAAAATTAATTTAAAATATTGCTTTTTAGATATCCATGCATCGACTGACAAATAGGGATTGGTGCAACTAAATGCACATACATTGAGTGTTGTTCCAGTGTGTTGTAATAAAAAAAACATTCTTGTTATTAAATGTGTTTAATTTAAGTTTTAATAAATGTATTTAATTTACGTTTAAATAAAAAGCAAGCAGTTAAGTAAAAAATCTATTTTCCTCCTTAAACAAATTTCTTGTACTAGTTTGTTATAATTATTAAACATTTTTTGTATTTAACTAATACTTCAGAGGTGGTATTTTAAAAAAGTTAGTTAAGAAAAGATAGTAGATAAGTAAAAAATGATTTTAGCAAATGCGATTACATAACTCAGTTGATATAAAATTTCAAACAAAAAATGAGAACTAAAAGACTTACAGTTAAATCTGTAATTGATCAAAACTTTGGCATATTATATTTGTTGACGAATCACATGTACTACTTGATGTAGAGTTTGCAAAAAGACTTGATAAGCCATTTAACTTTTCAGTCAAAAAGGGAAAAACTTTGAAAGAAATAGATTTGCGGGTGTTAAACCAAACAAGTTTGTTATTTTTTTATATTGTACTCTATTTCTTTTTTTATATAATATTTGCTGTTGTTGGAACGCATTGCAAAAAATTATTTGCAAATTTTGGGACATGCAAGTTGCCGAGAAAATCTCGAAAATCGATGGGAAAATCTCAATTCTCAAAAATTTTTTCCAAACAGACATTTTCGCATTTATACAATCGCATAGTTATACCAAAAATGGTAATTTTATTTCAAGTTTTACACAATAGATTAGAGTTTTATATGTTATTTTTAATAAGTTTTTAAAAAAATTAATTTTTTGAATTATTATTCAACTTTAATTTTGAAAACTTTATTTGGATTATGAAATTTTTTCACCTTTAAATGGGGTATTTGAACTTTTTGAGCATTTGGCTAATTGACTAATATAATAGTAATATAAGATAATTAAATAAATAGTTTGATATCAGTGAATTGTAGTGATGTTAGCTATATGCCATTATTTCTATAATGAAGGTAAGATAGTCTAAATAAATGAAGTAAATATCAACTTAAAAGACAACATTTTTTTTGAAAAATGCCTTTTGAGTATTATTGAAAAACAGAAAAAATTAAACATTCACTTTTATAATGCATTATTCACTTTTATAATGCATAATTCACTTTTATAATGCATTATTCACTTTTATAATGCATTATTCACTTTTATAATGCATAATTATGTTTAATTTAAAAAATTAAACATAATTATAAGTTATAAAAGCATAAAAAAGTTATAAAATGGAAATAACAAAAAAAATACCAGCATTCTTTTGTTTGATTTCGGGTTTTTTGAGCGAATTAATTGAAATTTAATGTCTGTTGATGATTTTAATTGTCCATTTTCAAATTGTACTAAGAAAAAAAATACCAAAACTCTAAACAAAATAAAAAAAATATGGCGAAAAATTAAAAAAACATAAACACTTTGACATAATTGAAAAACAATTGTAAAACAAAACATGTTTTACAATTTATCAAAAGCAAAATCAAATTAAAAAAATAAAACAAAAAATCTAATGAAATTACTAAACTTACCTAAAATTGGCCTGGCATCTTCTGATCTGATATCTTCAGAAGATGACATTTTTTTATTGTATTAACTAAACAAAATTTCAAACTTATTAAAAAAATTTAAAAATTTATAACTAAAAACTTAATCATCGAAACATTTTCACCAAAGCAAATTCTGAAATCAACTATTTTATATGCTTTGCATATAATAAAAATTAAAAACAGCCAAAAATATTAATACAATCTTACAGTAAATTAAACTATCCAAGTTCAGTTAAACAGTTACCAATTAAACAATCATACAGCAATTCATAATATCCTACTGCAATTAAACAATTACCAATTTTACATTAAAAATGGGTGAAAAAGGACAGCAACGTGGAGAATTTTTCAAATGGAAAAAAAAAAGGGTAAAACAAGTGGCTCAGTAACTGCTCTAATAAATTATACTAAATGCTGCAAGAAAACAAACATAATTTTCAATGATAATAATGTTCTACAAGACAAGCGTCTCTTGTTTAAAGAGTACTGAAATCTACATCTAAAGCCATTTTTTCACTTGGCAAAAATCAATGGTTTTAGGTTTGTTTACATAAAAGGATCAGACAACTGCAATGTGAAGAATAATAAGAAAGGTATAATGGTGTATAGAATAATAACTAATTTACAGCTGTGGCGCAGTGGTTACAGCACTTGCTTTATAAGCAGGAGATCCAGGTTTGAAACGAGCTCTGGACATATTTTCATATCACGGTAAGGAAAGAGGTGTGAACTTCCTGGTTAAATGCACTTCCATGGTGCTCTGTGACAAGACCGTTAGGTCTTCTTGGGGCACCTAGATAACAAAATATATATACATATATATAAAAAAAAAACTTAATATAATTATAAGTAATTCACTTCTAGGTGAAACATTAAATAATAGCTTAATTGAACAGTAACCATGGTAGCATTTCTAGAAAAGAAAAAGTGAACAGATTTACAAAAATGTGAGAGGACCTAAGCTTAGCAGCAAACTAGATTATTTAGCAAAATCCATTTACATGCATTTTTGGATCTCACTATTGCAAGGCTGATAAACAGAACTTTTTTGCTTAACGTCTTTAAAACAATAGTCAGATGTAACTAACATTTGCCCAGGATGAATTTTATTAAAACAACAGGTTTGGAAAGTATTCTAAGTCAGAGTTAACTTTACTTAGCCTTTCTTTTTGCTTGTCGAAATGTGACAGGTTGTACTGAATTAGACATTACCAGATGTTTACCAGAAGATTTATTCATTTAATCAATTAATTAAGTTAGGAAGGGAGGGGGAGTCATATTATCAAATGATCTAAAGTTTGTATTAATATTTTTCAAGAGGAACAATTTAGGAGGGGTAGCACATGTAATTTAAAGAAAAAAAATTAACCCAAATTTTTGCAATATATACATTACAATATAATAAAAGAAAAAGCTAAACATCATTAAAAAATAAAAATTGAAAACAAAAAAGTTACATAATAAATATTAAAAAAACAACAAATATCTTTAGAGAGTAAAAGCATTAGTAAACTGACAACAAACAAATATCTTTAAAAAATAGGAGCTTCAGGAATCCAAGGATCAGTGATAAAAATATCTTGAGTCTTTAAATTACTATCTGTTACTTCAAGTTTTATTGTAGGTTTTAAAACAGTAATATCATCATTTTCAACTTTTGGATACATTGTTTTTAAACGTACAATATTATTTTTAGTGATTAATTTTCTTTCATGAGCAGCAGCTAATTGGTTAATAACACGACGCTCTACCTGAAATCGAAAATTTTGAAACTACTCAATATGTATGCTCATATTTAATTTTATATTTATCTACTAATAAAGTCTGCACTGTACTAATTCTCAACACTTTAATTTTGAAAATGCGCAATTAAATCTCAGTATATATTTTTTATATGAAGAGTGCATTTCCAAAAGGGTGTAAGTGCCAAAAATATAATTTTTCACGAGGCAATAAAAACTGAATTTTTTTTTTAAACCACCCTTATGACTTGCACAACAAGTTTAGTGTGCATTAAAGTTTAGTGCACATTTAAGTTTAGTACGCATTTTTAAGGCACTATGAGCAATAGTTTTTTTCCCATCTTTTGTATAATGAGAATCAGTGGCACTTACAACTTATCTAAGTAGTAAACTAAAAATGAGGGACTTTGGCACTTACACCTATTTGGAAATGCACTCTTCATATATATATATATAAATAATACTATTACCATTAAAAATTAATACCTCATGCTTGATAGACCTGGCCCCATAATGAATATTATACCCATCTGCCAACACTTCAAGCACATCTGTTTCCCATGAAAGTTCAATAGAGTGTTTTTTTTTAGCCTAAGCAATAAAGAGTTTTTTTCTAATTATTAATTAAAAATCAAAAATATTTTAATTTATTGAAAAGAGATAATATAATAAAAAGGTGTAGCAGTTAGAAAACTAAAAGACAAGTTACAAGACAAATTCTTCCATTTCTCTTTGAATTTTGAAATATATCTCCTATAATAAAGTTAATATGGGGAAAAATATTATTGTTTAGTTTGATATTATTTAATTTTTTTAATATTTTGTAGATTTGTATTAAGTCTTTTTACACCTTTTTTCCAGTGTGCTTAAGCAAAGTTTCTTGTATCATAGCTAAGTTATCAAATTTGGAGTACCCATTTAGTGGCATAACATTGAAGTTTTTCAAGTGAATGAATACCATTCTTAATGTAAAGGAGGGGGAGGGGGGAGGATACTTCTATTGCAAACTCAAGATAGGGCCTTGTATATGTTACATCATCTTAAACATTTTTTGATGTATAAAAATATTTTTTTTTAATGTTTAATTTTTTTTTTAATTTTCCAAGCATTGAACAACTGATGTACTATAATTAAGTGAACGGCAAGAATAATTGAGTTAATGGCGAGAAGTCTACAGCACTTTTTTTAAATGAGCAACAATGACAGAATTAAGAAAACGATTAAATTTTAAGCTAACTCAGATGCTTAAACCTAAAAATGCATGACACATTGTATATGTGCAGGCAGTTAGGTTTTCAAATATGTATTTCTTATAAACTTATTATTAATTCTTTCTCCTTTACAAATCACTAAAAAATCTTTAAATATATCTATTATCAATAATCATAAATAATATAACTATAGAATATACATTTATTTATAAGTATGTATCTTTGTAATTACTTTAATTTGTTTTTGGAATTACTCAAGTTTATTTTTTCAAGATGTTGGGTACATATTCTTCTTTGTCAATGATGCACTGAAATTGTATCTTAACAGGCTTTTTAAATTTAAAGAAGCTGACCATGACCTTATTTAAATATAAGTAGTTTTTTGTATTTTATTGGTTTTATATAGCTTTATGTTATTATTTAGTACAGTGTTATTACCTGGTGGTGATATTTAAAGGATTACTGGTCAGATTTTATAAATTTTTTGTACTTTTAAAAACTTTTATACTATTAAAAAATTTGCTTTTCATTTTTTTTTTCCTCTTTCTTGCGGAATTCCCCGTGTATATATATGTATATATGTATGTATATGTGTATATATATATATATATATATATATATATATATAGGTTTATCCTACTACTGGTAACACGTAGCCCAGTACAATCTGCTTCATGTCCTCCTGCCTTGGAGGATAGGCCTTTTTAGGCCTATCCTCCAAGGCAGGAGGAGATGAAGCATCTCCTATCCTCCAAAGGCTAGGAGATGCTAACTGCAACATAAAACACCCCCTGCCTTGGGGCTTTTGGTTGAGTAAAGGCTAGAGATAGTGTCTCGATAAAAAAGCTCATCTTGAGCAAATGTTAAATGCATCCGGCTGCCGTCTTGTAAAAGGCCTTCTGGGCAAAGACTTAAGGGGTAAACAGATTCTATCTGTTGACCAGCCTCGCACCCCTTCTTCATCTATTAGGCTGGCGCATATGTATTTTTAAAATATTGTTTCCAGTTTAAGATGTTGAATGCTAGATCTTATGGACTCAATGCAAGGGTTTTGCTTGTGTTTTTATGACAAGACAACTCATTCTATTATCTCCTAATGAGGGTACAGCTCTAAAACTCAGTTTTATGGCTCTGAGGCTGGCTGGTAGTCAGGTTTCCCAAACTCTGTGGTAGTTCTCAGAGAGGCTGATTCCATCAACGGCTGAAAAATATCAAAGTACTAACAGTGCCATGTTGCGCATGGATGGTGTACCTGTTTGCACTTTTAGTGTGCATAAGCAAGGCCACATTGGAGCCCTTTGTTACGGCTTAGGGTTTATTAATAGTAAAGAGGCAATTGCTTGGGCCATTAAACAGTGTACTGAGTACTATCTATGTTTCGAGTCAAGTTCTTTAACAAATTTAAAATTGAATAAAGAAACAAAAACTATAAAATAGGTTATCTTCCTTTAAATTGTAAAGACTCCTATAGTCACATGCTTGGCCTGAGTATTTACATTCATAAGAATTCACCCATATGTCGAGAAACTAGGTTTGAATCCACAGACTACTCTTTTATAAGCTTTCGTTTAGCACCACTTCACTCTATCACCTTTCCCTCTGTTCTATATCGCTCTACTTCATCTCAAGACTACACTTTTCTTGATGTTATTTCTTATCATATTGACCAAGCCCTCTCTCTTTATCCATCAACCAATATTGTTGTTGTCATTGACTTCAATGTTCATCACATTGAATGGCTTGGCTCTAGTGTCAGTGACTCTGCAGGCATTAAGGCCCACAACTTTTGCCTCTCTCAATTCCTAACTCAAATAGTCAACTTTCCAACTCGCTTTCCAGATAACCCAAATGATTTACCTTCTCTACTCGACTTATATTTTGTTTCTGATCCTTATATTTGACTTATATTTATCCTTATATTTGACCTTATATCTGACTTATATTTTGTTTCTCACCCTTAGGTGCATCCGATCATGGTTTGGTCTCTCTAAAACTATTATCTCATTCTTCTTTACCATCATCGTCCCCCTATCATTGTACATCTTACAACTACCTTAAAGCTGACTGGGACTCTTTCTGTGATTTTCTTCGTGATGGCCCCTGGGTAGAAATCTTTCGTCTCCCTGTTGACAAATGTGCTTCTTACATAACTTCGTGGATTCAGGCTGGCATGGAATCCTTTATTCCCTCTCGACGATTCCAGATCAAGCCTTACTCTTCTCCATGGTTTTCCTCACATTGTGCTGCTGCAATTGCCAATCGAAACCATTACTTCCATATCTATCAGCAAAACAATTCTCCAGAAAACAGACGTCTCTTTATTACTGCTAGGAACCATTGTAAAAAGGTTGTCTAACGCCAAAGCCTGCTATTCTCAGATCATGAAATCTCGTATTTCATCACGAAAGTTAGACTCTCGCGATTACTGGAGAATCTTTAATAGTATCAATAATAAGGGCAAGTCTATAATTCCACCACTTTTGTACGGTTCAGACTTTGTCACCTCACCTAAAGACAAAGCTGAATTGTTTGCTAAGAACTTTTCATCAATATTATCTCTTGACTCCACTAGTTGCGTTCTACCTGATATAGCCGTCAAACAGGTTGATCCATTACTTGACATCCATATCACTCCAGCTTCTGTATCTAAAGTGATTTCTTGCTTAGACTCTTCTACAGCTTGCGGCCCAGACAACATACCTATTATAGTCTTTCAGAAGTGTTCTCCGGAGCTGTTGTCTATTCTTTCAAAACTATTCAACAAGTGCTTATCAGAGTCTTGTTTTCCAGCCTGCTGGAAGCAGCACCTGTTATCTCTATTTTTAAAAATTCTGGAGAGCGATCCGATTCATCTAACTACCGTCCCATTAGTCTTCTTCCTATCATAAGCAAGGTTTTTGAATCTTTAATTAACAAATACTTAATCTATCATTTTGAATCTCATAACCTACTTTCTGGTTATCAATATGGATTTTGATCTTCTCGTTCTACGGCTGATTTGCTAACAGTAATACCTGATAGGTTTTATTGCGCATTAGATAAAGGTGGAGAGGTTAAGGCCATTGCTCTTGACATTTCTAAAGCATTTGATAAAGTTTGGCATGCTGGTCTTCTCCATAAGCTTTCTACTTACGGTGTATCTGGAATTATCTTTAAGATTATTGAATCCTTTCTTTCCAATCGTAGTATAAAAGTTGTCCTTGATGGAGAGCACTCTTCTTCTTATTCTGTAACCTCAGGGGTTCCTCAAGGTTCAATCTTTGGCCCTATACTCTTTTTAATATACATTAACGATTTTCCAGATACTCTCACATCTAAGGTGGCATTGTTCGCTGATGATACTACCATTTATTCTTGTCACAATAAGAAGCCAACTCCCTCTGATTGCTTGCAGGGGGCATTTGAGCTTGAAAAGGATCTCACTTCTGCTACAGCATAGGGCTCACAGTGGCTGGTGAACTTTAATTCAGATAAAACTCAATTTTTTTCAGCCAATCGTTATCGCAATAATTTAGACCTTCCTATATTTATGAACGGTAATGTACTCAATGAGTCATCTACCCTTCATTTTCTAGGATTAACTCTCACTTCTGATCTTTCTTGGAAACCTTATATCAAATCCGTTGCAAAATTAGCATCTGCTAAAGTTGCATTTCTTTATTGAGCTCGACACTTTCTTACTCTGGATTCTATTCTCTATCTCTATAAATCTCAAATCCGACCTTGTATGGAATACTGTTGGTATATCTGGGGCGGATTTTCTAATGATGCCCTTTCTCTTTTAGACAAGGTGCAAAAACGCATTGTAAACATAGTTGGACCTGCTCTTGCAGCCAACCTTTAACCTCTGTCACATCGTCATAATGTTGCTTCTCTTTCTCTTTTCTACAAATACTATAATGGGCACTGCTCTAAAGAGCTAGCGTCTCTTGTGCCATCTACTAAAATTCATTCTCGTGTTACTTGTCATTCAATTAAGACTCATCCATTTTCTGTTACTGTTCCTATGTGCTCCAAAAACTCTTAATCATCACTTCTTTGGAATTTGCTTCCTTCATCTTGCTTTCCTGATTCATATAATTTGCAATCTTTTAAGTCGTTTGTCAATCATTATCTTGCTCTACTATCTTTTCAATCTTTTCTCTTCCAGTAACTTCCAACACTAATTAGTGGTTGCTTGCAGCCTTGTTGGAAGCGAAGATGTTTAAAAAAAAAAAGAAAAAAAAAAAGATGTTTAATGCAACATTTTTTCTAATCTGTCTAAAATTATGCCTCACTTTCTTGTCTTGCTAAAGTCACACTACATATCTATCCAATCATCTTCTCTTTCGGTAAATACTACACCATATAAATACTAAAGTTTATATAACAATTAAAGGATATTGTATGCCAGCATCTAAATAAATAGGAAACATTTATTTTTATACCGATAATATGTATGCATTTAACTCTTGAATCTAATGGCCACATTTTTCCAGTTAAAAAGATTAACCTATTGTTAAACATTAAAATCACTATGGCTTCTAATGTTAAAATTAATTCTCAGTTAAACATTTCTACAGTTTGTGCTACAGACAAGATTTCCATAATCATCTTAAAAAAGTGTTCTACAGAAATTGGTTCCAATTTTTCAAAACTCTAGAAAACATTTTGACCTATCCAACTATTCTACGGTATCCAACTATCCTACGGCATCCAACTATCCTACAGTATCCAACTATCCTATGGTATCCAACTATTCTTCGGTATCCAACTATTCTACGTCTTTACTCTGTTATTATTTACTCTTAAATTGACAAAAAATCTTCACTTTTTGATTGCTTAGAACAAGCAGCTGGTTTTTAATCTGATCTCTCTTCTATAACAGCATAAGACTTGTAGTGGCTTGTGGATTTAAATTCTGGGCTTAAAATCCGCAATTTTTTTTAGGCAACAAAAGTCATTTATTTACTGCAAAAAAATATTGCCATATTGTTGGCATTTCTATATTGACGAATAACCCTTTTACTCTCAGACAAAGTCTAAAAGCACATTCAAAATGTAGTTAAACTTGCTATGTGTATATATACATATATATATATATATATATATATATATATATATATATATATATATATATATATATATATATATATATATATATATATATATATATATATATATATATATATATATATATATATATATATATATATATATGCAGAGAGAGAGAATAAGAAAGACATTTATTATGTCACAATAATTACTTAAAAAAATTAAAACTAAATTTTTTGTTCTTTACTTACAATTTGTGACCAGAAAAGTAATTCTTTTTCAACAAGCTTTAAAAGCTCCTGCTTTGAGAAGGGCAGAAAAAAAACAAACTCTGTGATGCGTCCAAGAAACTCATCTCTTCTAAAGTGGTACTAAAAAAATAATGTAAGAAAACTGTATATAAAATATAACTATATATAATATGTTTTTTATATAACTGTATATAATATGTTTTGTTTAAGTAAGCACTTTTTTTAAAATAATTTTTTGATTAATATTTAATCATTTACAGCAAATCTTCACATTTAAGTGACATAATGGAAGGAAAATTGCTCTAAACCAGTTCTTAAAAAAAAAAAAAAAAAAGATTACCTTTAAAATAGGGTAAATAGTATTTTCTTTAAAGTTTTGTCCTATCTGTATTTGATGTTCATCTTCGGCTGCAATATTTGGTTAAACATTAAAGTTCAGATAATACAGTAGTTTATATAATATATATTGTATATAAACATTATAATGTATAATATACATAATATTTAACAAAAATAAAATTAAAAAATATATATACATTAATACACTAAACTAATGCATAACAATTTATTTTTCACACTAATTAAAATGTATATAATAAATAAGCATATACATACATATATATATATATGTATATATGTGTATATATATATATACATATATATATATATAAATATATATATATATATATATATATATATATATATATATATATATATATATATATATATATATATATATACATACATATATATATATATATATACATACATATATATATATATATATATATACATATATATATATATATATATATATATATATATATATATATATATATATATATATATATATATATATATATATACATACACATATATATATATACTCACTTTGTTTAAATGAAAAACAACGCTATTAATAGTACTTAAAGTTTCGTGTCATATAAGACATCCATCAGCTATTAAATACATAAAAAAATGTTAGAAAAAACCGTTCAAAAACAAACTCTTTTATAAATGAATTAAATATATATACATTAATACACTAAACTAATGCATAACAATTTAATTTCACACTAATTAAAATTTATATAATAAATAAGCATATACATACATATATATATATATGTATATATGTGTATATATATATATACATATATATATATATAAATATATATATATATATATATATATATATATATATATATATATATATACATACATATATATATATATATATATACATACATATATATATATATACATTCATATATATATATATATATATATATATATATATATACATACATATATATATATATACATTCATATATATATATATATATATATATATATATATATATATATATATATATATATATATATATATATATATATATATATATATATATATATATATATATATATATTTATATATATATATATATATATATATATATATATATATATACATACACATATATATATATACTCACTTTGTTTAAATGAAAAACAACGCTATTAATAGTACTTAAAGTTTCGTGTCATATAAGACATCCATCAGCTATTAAATACATAAAAAAATGTTAGAAAAAACCGTTCAAAAACAAACTCTTTTATAAATGAATTAAAAGGTAGAACAACTTCTGTTGTAATAAAAAAAGTAACTATTTAGTCCCCGGTATCAAAAGAGAACAGTAGAAGTTTGTTGGAATGTCGACACTTAGATAATATTTCATCTTTTTTATTAGGCAGGCTGTTTTCTTTGTGATATAAAATTATAAATTTCTCATGAAGACAAAGATTACAAATTTTAGATGTTGCCTTGATAGGTTTAAAGCATTTTATAATTTTCCACTTTATTGTTTGTTTTATGTTGTTTTTTTTAAATATAAATCTCCTTAGAAAGCTGGGTATCATTTCTGTATTTCACGGGATTAAAAGATTTTAAATGATGAAAGTGTTCGAGGTCGGCAAAAAATTGCTGATCTCGTTTCTATGTTATATGGTCAGACCTATGTATCAAATAATTTTGCCGACCTCTATAAGATTGAGATCAGCAAATTATTGCTGACCTCATTTTTCCTAATTCCGAGGGTTGTGTGTGTATATATATATATATATATATATATATATATATATATATATATATATATATATATATATATATATATATATATATATATATATATATATATATATGTAAAACAGTAATTGTTCCATGTGAAATGGAAACAGTAATTTTTATCTTATCTTATTTTTATTGTAGCAATTAATTAATGATTGGTTAATGCTCCTTTATTGCTTTCAGTTAATGTGTATGGTATTTTAACCTATCCTTTTTATAAAATCCTTTTTAATATAATATACAATATTTCTTTTGTATTTTCTAATACAATATTAATTAAAAAAAAATTTTCAATAAAATTCTATAATACTATTTCGAATCATATTCTGTTCTAAGAAGTTTTCTCCAGTTTTAGTAGTAATAAAAAAAATTCCCCGAAACCTAAATTTATTTCTTTATTTATACAATGAAAGTGTTATATTTTTAAAACTTTGAGTTCTTGGTTCACAATCAAAATTGTTTTTAATTTTATTTTATTCATTTATGTTAATGCAAAAAATACTGCAGTAAAAAATGTGTGCTAAGCTATATTGCAACAATAAAGCTCTTAACAATGATATACCTAACAAACTTAAACATTCTAGATTTATTCTTTTAACTCTGATAAGATCAAAACATTTGTGCTGCTGCCTCAACTTAAAGTTCTTCACTTTAACACAATCAGAACAGTTCTAGGATCAGTTCATGGTTCCTTCACATTTGAAATGCCAACAGTAGCAGCACAAGATATTTTACTGCTTCTTGGCTCAGGTAAAGTGTGTCAACAGTGTTTTAGTGCATTCTTTGAAGTTTTTTTCTCTGTTTTAAACTGCCAAATTGGTTAACAAGCAGTTTTAAGAAACTGTATAAAATGCAACAAAAAAAACATGTAGACAGTTATTACCCAATTTTATTTCCAATGTATCATTTCTGAGACATAAAGAAAATTTGTGCTTAACATTTCTAATCAATAATAATTTATAAAAAAAATGCAGATGAACTTTTTAGTTAAAAACACTGAAATAGCAACAACTTTCACAAGCGGCACTAAATGTTTTTAAGTACAGTACAATCTCTCTAATTTGAATTTTACGGAGAAAAATAAAAGTTCGAATTAGAGAGATTTTTGAATTAAAGATAGTAGACTTTTTTCAAATATTCTTATCAAAATAACGAATAAAAATGAACAAACAATTAGTGATTTTTAGGTATAAATGCAATATATATTGAGTGTTTTAAACTTTTTCAAATTTTACATCTTCAAAAAAAAAGTCAGTAACTGTTGATTGACTTTTATGAGCTTGTAAATCCATGTCAAGATCTTAAGATATTATATTAAAGAAATTTATGAGTTTAAAAGTTAATTTATGTTAACTTATGTCTTTCAGTGTCATTATATTATAGACGTTTATGTCTTCAAGAGCTTTTTTTCAAATTATATTTAAAGTTAGATTAAAGACTATAATTTTGAACTTTGTTTAAATTTGGTTTTATAACATTGTTAGAAACATCAACGCACTCATCATTGGATTGCTCTTCAGTTTCAATAGCATCATGTCCAGAAACTTTTGCAATGATGTCTTCATCTGATTTGTTGGCAATGCAAGCATCAAAATGTCTACTAATCGTGAGTTTAAAATATGCATCAAATTTTGTTTTTACAACTCAAGATCATCTTTTAAGTTTTTATTACAGCCTTTTCTACATCTAATTTTTCCGGTTTCCTTAATAAAAGGTGGGGGGGGGGTTAACTAATTTATTTAACATTTTTTTCATACATCCACATTAAAGATTATTATTATCATATATATGCTTTTCTACTGCTTTTAATAATATTTAATAATAATATAATAATATAATACTTATAATAATATTTAATAATATTTCTGAATTTTTGCAACAATTTATAAAAGTCTAGTCTGTAATAGAATACCATGCTTCTGTTAGCAAGAACATAGCAATTAAGTAAAGTGTCTTGTTCTCTTTTTCAAAGGCAGCAATTTGCTTTTTCACTGCAAAGGAGTTACATTTTGCTTTAAGAGATCGAATAATTCCTTGATCCATGGGTGATCAATGTTGTATTCAGTGGAAAAAAAAAACGCTTTCTGCAAGTTAGGATGGGCAGAAGAATTGTCCATAATTAAAGCAATTTTTCTTTTCTGAAAACTAAAGTCAATTTCTTTAACCCACTCCCCAAATAACTCTTTTGACATCCAGCTATTTAGTTGGGCCCGATAGCAACAAGGAATACTTTTTACACCTTTAAAACATTTAGGAGACTACAATTTTCTAATTACAAACACTGAAAGTTTTTCTCCACTAACATTAACTGCGGCCATGTCAGCCAGGCAAACTTTTTTATGCTTGCCACCTGTGCAACCTTGCCACCGGTGCATTTTTCATTTTTAAAATGTAAACTTCATCAGCATTAAAAATATTTTCAAGTGAGAGAATTGTATTGCAGTACAGTTTTAAGTGGGTATTGAGTGAGAATTGTAGTCGGTGTTTTTAAGTAGGTAATGAGAGAAAATTGTAGTCCGTGTTTTCAAGTGGGTATTGAGAGTGAATTGTACGGCAGTACAGTTTTAAGCTATGGAGTGATCATTTGCTCATTAACTGAGTTTGTCTCTCCAGTAATGGTTTTGAAAGATAAACCTTACCTACAAAAAAATTTATAATTATTTAGATGTAACTTATTTGAATGTAACTTTGACATCTTTGCAAGTTTTTAGATTTTATTTTCTTGTAAAGATGTAAACCATAAAAATTGGATAAAATAAAGTAAGAAATTAATTTATCTTTTATTAAATCTTTATAGCCATCCATCTAAAGCTTGAAAATTTTTAAAGCCTAACTCACTAAATATAGAGCTTTTTCTTTTAGCAGCAAACCATTAAGACATTATCAACTCTTTAAATCATTTAGCTTTATTGACTTCATGATTCGTATCAACTTTCACCCAAATATTTTTGACAAAGCAACAGATTTTATCTTTATTATTTTTCCATGTTAAAAGAGTGTTTGGTGGAATATCAAAGACTTTTAAAACCTCTTTGTTTTTCCTTTCTCCAAGTCCAGTTGAGTATTTCGGTTTTAATTGTTTTTTTTTTATTCAGTCTCTTTGATGCCATGATTTTTTTTTAACAGAAGGAAATAATTCATGCTAATCGTTTTTCAAAAACTCAAAACATTTGATATTTGAAAAAAATTAAATTATGGAGGTTTTCAAATTATATAGATTCAAATTATAGAAAGTTAAAGGTAATAGTTTCTTAAGCACATTTCACAGTGACTTTGCATTTAATCAAATTATGGAGGTTTTTGAATTAAGGAGATTCGAATTACAGAGAGATATTGTTGAAAATCATGTCAATACAAAAAAGAAAAGAGCCAGTGAGAAATCTTTTGAGGAATATTTTTCAACCCAACTGGTAACTACTATGGGAGTAGATCATCATTTAACTGTATGCAGAAAAATTGAACACTTTATGCAAACACATCATAAAATCCTGTAGAATTAGAACAAAATAAAAATGCTTCAATTAAGTAATTTTTAATTAAACTTTTAATTCAAGGGTGAAATTAATTAAAATTAAAACAAATGTTAAAAGGAACCAATCATAACATTTATAAATATTTAAATGAACCAATTACAACTTTTACAACAATGTGTGTGTGTGTGTGTGTGTGCGTGTGTGTGTGTGTGTGTGTGTGAAATATTATTATTTAACTTTTTTTGTCAGACATCAATATTTTAAAAACATTTTAGTATTATTATAATAACTTTATTTATTATTATAATAAATTTATCAAATTATCTTACAAATGTCATGGCCGAGTTTGTTAACTTTATTTTCTTTGGCCATTTGTCTAAGTTCTAATGCATGATCAGCTATTTCCTCACTAGCTAAATTTGATGTCATTACAAAAATGGCGTCTTTGCATTCAACTGTTTTTCCATGACCGTCTGTCAGTCTTCCCTAAAAAATATTATTAATAATATTAAATTTTTTTGAAAATATTTTCTTTTAAATTTTTAAAAATAAAAAACTAAACCCACCTCATCAAAAAGTTGTAACATAACAGTGAGTACATCAGGATGAGCTTTTTCAACCTAAAAACATGAGATTTCATAATGGAGAGATTTTTGGTGAAAGAAAAAGTCAAATATTTTCTTCATGATATATATGTAAAGATACAGGTAAAGGAAAACCTCATCAAACAATACAACAGCTTTAGGAAAAGCTTTAAGCTTTGTAGTTAATTGACCACCTTGTTCATAACCAACATATCCAGGTGGAGAACCAATTAATTTAGACACCTAAAAATATTTATAAATAAAACAAAGTTCCCTCACAAAATCATAATTTTTTATAAAGATTTAATATAAAATCAATACATTTTTTTAATTTTGTGTTCCAAACAAAATGACAAACAATAGTCTTTAAATTTTCATTTATAAAAGCTTTTTCAATAATATTTCATGTAATATATATATATATATATATATATATATATATATATATATATATATATATATATATATATATATATATATATATATATATGTATATGCCCTATTTTTAAAAAAAAAAAATTAATCTTGGATATTTTCTTGATGCATAATACATTTTTCCTTATAATAATATATAGCATAATGCATTACTATAATCCCTTTATTACAAATTTGCTCAGAAAATAAATTATTAAAATAAATAAAGTAAAATATTATTATATTAAAATTATTACTATCATTAAAAATTCTTGTAAACTTAAAATAAGTTTTTTTATTTAAAATTTCATTAACTTAAAATTAGTTTTTTTTATTTAAAATTTCATATATTTTTGCAAATAAATTTACGAAATTGCCAAAAGCATTCTTTACAGACCATAATAAGCAATATTGAACAATAAATTTCTTTTTATTTATACAATAACTAGTTATGTAATGTTAAATTATAGTAATTTACAAAAAAAAAAAAACGTTACTCTAAAATTTAAGTAAAAAAGCAATGATCTTTTTTTTTTCAGTTTAAAAAAAAATGCACATCAAAAATGCTTTCTGCACCTTTGATATACTTGGTTCATATTCAGAACAAGATCACTGTCACTCTACTAAGTTGTGTAGCCAACTAACATTACGTTCTATGAGCTATGTTAAACAGCTGTTCAATCTTCCAAATAAATTCACTTTAATCATGTTTCTGCGATTCTGTTGTTTGATGGTTGTTTTTCTTCAGTTTACAGTAACTTGTACACATAACTACCACATAATCACTTATGACAAAAAGCTATTTGAATTTAGTTCAGATAGTTGGCTTTTTGTGAAGAAACATTTGGATTCAATCTTTAAGTTTTTAAGTCGACCAGTGTGGCCCATATAGAGAGTAGGAATGTTAACAAATGAATAAGATAGAGAAAACTTAATATGTATTACTTGATCTCAGCACAGTCAGTAAAGTGTGTACAGACTGAGCTGAGATCAAATAATATAATGCTGTTACATAATAGACAAACAAAAAAGTAAATTGAGAATTCAGACTTTTGTCTTAAGCAATTTTTAAAATTGCATTGAACATCATAAAATTATAGACCAATTGTTTTCATTACACTTTTAACCATTGGAATGTTAAGACTATCAAAACTCTTAACTTGAATTTGTCACATGCATTTGTGGGGAACATATTTCTGTATGATATTATCAACAAGACATGATACTGAAATGGAACTTAGAGTATTCAAAGAAAACTGAGTGTGTCCACATAAAACTCAAATATTTTTTTAGTGAGTGCAATTATGTGCGCTCTTCATTAAGTTATCGAGAGCGATCTTTTATATTTGGATATGGGTGTTCCACACAATTTTATTAATTCTTAATTTGTTATACAGCATTCTTTAGACGATAAATATTTTAAAATTATTATTTCGCAGCGCACTGCCTGACAAAACATTTAAAATTCTTTCGACTTCCTTAATACTTATTTATTATTTGATCGCTTCTGATTGTATTTTTTTTCCACCTGGTTCTCAATGATCTTGTTTTAAAAAATAAATTTATCTTTTATGTATTTTCTTGTTACTGTCTTAATATTAATTTTTTCATTTATTATTACATCGAATTTATTTGAAAGAAGTTCATAAGCTTTCATTTTTTTCATTGTTTCATTTGTTTAATTAAAATATAAATTCATAATGTTTTGACATCATTAAAACATTAAAACAATGAAATAACGATTTCTTTTTGTTAAAACGTATTTAATGTTTTTTCGATGCTAACCCTAATAGAACTTTTATAACTTTTTTAGCAAACGTTTTCACAAACTTAAACTTTTCTTTTTCTCATATAAATTTATAATTTTAATTAAGTTATAAATATGCATTATAATTTTAATATCAAAAGCTTTTTAAATTTAGTTAAATTTTGTCCGAAAACATTTCTAATGCTCTAATTTACCGAATGACATTAATATTTAGAAAAATTAGTTTTAAAAGTATGTGAATAGTGATTATTTTGTTTTTAACAATAAGCAAACTATTCCGTTCAAAAGACAACATTTTTGGAAATATTTTTTTTGAAACTAAATAAAAAACTTTTATTATTATACATATGGTTTTTAGCAAATGCTTTTAAAAAATCAAATTAACAATATTTTTCATAATTAATTTGTATTTATTATGCAACTGAATATTATAATTAAACTTATAATATAACTATATAAATAATCACTATTCACATACTTTTAAGTGCGTTTTGGCAGTAAACGCTTTATATAAAGAAGTCTCATTCATAAATTACCAATCATTGTTTTAGAAATTTGTGCTCTAATTTTAACAGAATGACGTAAGTTAACATGAAAATATGAGTTTTTTAATTGAAGTATAACCTAAACATTTTACCTCAGTTGAAAAAACGCAATTAAAGATATTTGAATAGAGATTATTTTGTTTTTACAATAAGCAAACTTTTTACAAGAATCTTTAACAAAAACTTTTTATAAAAAAAATTTAATATAAAATCAAGTAAACCATTATTAATTTTCTCCCTCCCAAATTTTTAGGACGAGCGCAAATTTTTAGGATGAGCGCAATTTTTTACTCTCGTAACTAAATTAGCAAGTGTTTTTTATCGTGTCCGCAATTTATAAATATTCCATTAACAAGCGAGTTTCACGTGATGGCAGCGATCGCTCCCGCTTCATGACAAAGCCTGATTTATATATATATATATATATATATATATATATATATATATATATATATATATATATATATATATATATATATATATATATATATATATATATATATATATATATGTATATATATATATATAAATATATATATATAAATATATATATATATATATATATATATATATATATATATATATATATATATATATATATATATATATACATATATATATATATATATATATATATATATATATATATATATATATATATATATATATATATATATATATACACTTACTAAAGCGTGTTTTGATAAGCATTTGCTCACTTTTTCTGCTTACCTTAAGCCATACTGTTTTTTTCGAAAAAGAAGAAAAAACGAAGAATGATGAATAAAACGATTGCTTCCCTATCCCAAACACTCAGTCGATGTAGCAGCACTCCACTGTCAGTCTATTTGTCAGTCGATGTATGTACTGAAGCTCCCAGCAGCAGGCTATATCAGTGTTACGTCAGATTGCTTACCTTAGTACGCAATACTATTTGTGTATATATATATATATATATATATATATGTATATATATATATATATATATATATATATATATATATATATATATATATATATATATATATATATATATATATATATATATATACATATGTATATACAACTCTCGGATTTCGCCGATCTCAAACACTATAAGGTTGACATTTGGCAATGTCAACCTTATAGTGTTTGAGATCGACGAAAAATTGCCGACCTCATTTCTATGTTTTATGGCAAGACCTTTGTATAAAATTTTTTTTGCCGACCTGATGCCGACCTTTAAAAGATTTAGGTTAGCAAATTATTGCCGACCTCATTTTCAAGTCCAAGGGTTGATATATATATATATATATATATATATATATATATATATATATATATATATATATATATATATATATATATATATATATATACATACATATATATATATATACATACATATATATATATATACATATATATATACATATATATATACATATATACACAGCCCTTTGAATTAGGGTTGGCATTCGACAAAGCCAACTTAACTGTCAACCTTAAAGTGTTTGAGGCTTGCAAAAAATTGCCAACCTTGTTTCTATGTTTTTGTATCAAATTTTTCTTGCCAAGGGCCAAAATTAATAGATCACAAACTAGGAATCGCAATGGGCCATACCATTCAGCCATTCAACCATTCTTGAAAGTATTTGAAGCAATTACAACTGCTATCTTTTATATTTCTGAGTAAAAAAACAACTTCATCATGTCATCAAGACAATGTTGACTTCATATTATGTTGACACAAAATAACTGTTTAGACAAGTATTATATTTGCTTATTTGTTTGACAGACTAACCAATTTTAAAATCAACTTTAAAATTAGGCGATTTTTTTAAAATTAAACCAAATTTTGTTATAATTAAGTGTGTAAATTTTATAAATACATAAATACAAATCAAAAATTTACCTCATGTTTTTCTTGATATTCTGACATATCCAATCGAATGAAACTCTGTTAATTAAATATTTTGATGGTTAATAACATAATCATAACTTTAAAAATTAGATTATTGTTTTAACACTAATTTTTAAATGCTTATGACGCTTTTTTAAATCTTTATGTTATTTCTTTATGTATTTATTTTATGTATTTATATCCAAAATTTAAGTTTATTTAAAAAAAAAAACTCTATATATAAATATTTTATTACCTTATTAAACAAACAAATAACACTACCTTTTCAACATCTTTATGTAAAAACCTAGCAAGCTGCTTTGCAAGCTCTGTTTTTCCTATAAATAAAATCTAAAATAATTAAGTTATTTTTTGGCAACTAATACAGCTTGCAGTAGTGAAGTCACTTTCTTAAATATTGTCTGTAATAAAAAAAAAACTTTCCTATTTTATTACAAAATGTTTTGTAGATCAACACACAGAAATTTTTATCAGAATTTCATTTGACATATGACATACAAAAAGTCACGTTTAAAGCAAAGATTTTTTTACATTAAAGGGTTTTTACATTAGAGCTTGACCACAGCAAGTTGTAAAAGACTTGACCACAGCAAGTTGTAAAAGTTGCCACATTACAACAGTATGCATTAGAGCAGTATACATGATTGAATGTAGAAAACCTTTTTATTCAATCTATTAACTGTTTGGTTTGGTTTTAATCATGAAAAAATTGTGGTACTAACAAACTTAAAATCTAAATATCTCTGGAGAAAAATGTCTGTTTACCTATCCCTGACGAGCCGAGAAATAAAAAAACTAAAGGATGTTGATCATCAACCCAACCATTTTGTCGACGCCTAATAGCTGAAAAACAAAATAAAAAACATTAAAGGCAAAAAAAAACTATATATATATATATATATATATATATATATATATATATATATATATATATATATATATATATATATACATACGTATATATATATATATATATATATATATATATATATATATATATATATATATATATATATATGTATGTATATGTATATATATATAAAGCAAACACCATAATGGCATTAACAAATACCATAATGACAATAACAAACATCACAATGACATTAACAAACACCATAATGAAAAATAATAAACACTATAATAATAATAACAAACACCATAATGACCATAACAAACACCATAATGACCATAACAAACACCATAGTGACAATAACAATCACCATAATGACATTACCAAAAACCATAATGACCATAACAAACACCATAATGACAATAACAAACACCATAATGACTATAACAAACACTATAATGACAATAACAAACACCATAATGACCATAACAAACACCATAATGACCATAACAAACACCATAGTGACAATAACAATCACCATAATGACATTACCAAAAACCATAATGACCATAACAAACACCATAATGACATTAACAAAAACTATAATGACCATAACAAACACCATAATGACATTAATAAACACTATAGTGACAATAACAAACACCATAATGACAATAACAAACAACATAATGACCATAACAAACATCATAGTGACAATAAAAAACACCATCATGACAATAACAAACACCATAATGACCATAACAAAACTATAATGACAATAACATAACTATAATGACAATAACAAACACCATAGTCACTATATTTTTTGAGCCAACCAACGCCATAATGATAATATTTTTTTAGCCAACCAACATCATAATTATAATATTTTTTGAGCCAACTATAATAACACTTTTGATATTTTTTGCAAAATATATAAAAACTTTATTATAGTAATTTATTTTTGAATTAGTATGCCACAACTATTTTTTAATGTTTATTATAATCTTCCCTAATTATTGAATAAGAATTAGTGATTGTTAACTAAAATTAGAAATTAGTTTAGCTTTTAAAATATGAATTTGAATTAGCCAAGTCATTAAAAAAGAAGTTATAAAAAGTTTAGTAAAAACTTCTAGAAAAATTTTTAACTTCTAATAGAATGTCTAATGAAAATTGTCAGTTTAAACTAAAAAAAAAAATTTGAATGCAAGAAAAACACTATTAAAAAGCAATTAGGCAAATTGAATTTAAAAAAGTTTAAAAAAACCTTTTATAAAAGATCAATTAAAAGACCAGTAATTTTATTTTATAGACCAGTGATTTTGTTTTAAAGACCAGTGATGTTATTTTAACTGGCTTTGAAAGTGCACTTTAGAACTTTAGACTTTTTTTTACAAAAATAATGCTGTTCATAAATTAAAAATTGGTACCATTGAGTAGAGCACTTTTTTCTTTATCTTTTGTTTTAAGAGTTTTTTATAGAAGAAAAAAGTTGTACAAGCGAAGAATATTAAAGTAACAGCGATGATAACTTATTCAATGAAGGCACAATATTTTTTATTTAAAAATTGTATACAATATTACTTAATTCAAACTTAACACCAAACCTAAGCTTTTGATGTTTTTCTTTTACTGGTGTAACAGAACCCAAATATTATTATTTCAACAGAGTCAAAGCCCATTGACTATGTTAACTTACTTTTTACAACAGAATTTTTGAAAAATTTAGTAACTTATACCAACCAGTATGCATGGATACAAAGTAACCAACAATACTTTTTTTTTTAAAACATCTTTGTTTCCAAGGCTTTCCAAGGCTGCAAGCAACCACTAATTAGAGTTGGAAGTTACTAGAAGAGAAAAGATGAAGATTGAAGAACAAGATAATGATTGACAAACGACTTAAAAAATTACAAACTATTTGAATCAGGAAAGTAAGATGAAGGAAGCAAATTCTAAAGAACTGATGTTTGAGGAAAAAAACTAGAGGAGTAAGAGATTTTAGAGCACTTAGGAAGTCACAGAAAAAGGATGAGACTTAATCGAATGACAAGTAACACGAGAATGAATTTTAGATGGCACAAGAGATGCTAGCTCTTTAGAGCACAGCCCATTATAGTATTTGTAGAAAAGAGAAAGAGAAGCAACACTACGATGATGTGATAATGGTTGCAGGTTGGCTGCAAGAGTTTACAATGCGTTTTTGCACCTTGTCTAAAAGAGAAAGGGCATCATTAGAAGATCTGCCCCAGATATGGCAACAGTATTACATACATAGCTGGATTTGAGATTTATAGAGATTAAGAATATAATTTTGAGTAAGAAAGTGGTGAGCACAATAAAGAGATGCAACCTTAACAGATGCTAATTTTGCAATGGATCAGAAGTAAATAAAGTAAATTTGCAATGGATCAGAAGTAAGGGTTAATCCTAGAAGATGACTCATCAAGTACATTACCATTCATAAATATAGAAAGGTCTAAATTATTGTGATAACGATTGAATGAAAAAAACTGAGTTTTATCTGAATTGTAAGTTGCACACTCTAACACCTAGTGCAATACTGTCTGCTGTCTCTATGCCAACCTTCTAACTCGACTTCTAACTTTCTAATATCCTTCATTCTTCTAAAAATCACTTACTCTTGGTTTGCGAAGGGGTAATGGTGCTGTTTAGTAAGCTGAACTCGTCTTCGTGGGCCTTGGTATGTAGCCTCTATATGACAATTATTCGGGGGAAGATAAATCACATGGAGGAGAAATGGATGGAAAGAAGGTATATATTAAATAAAGTAGTATGTTAGATGTATTTTTATATTTACTTTTGTGTAGTGCAGTCTCTTAATTATTATTCTTATTATCTGATCTATAATTAAATTATTTAAAATTGTGCTTTTTGACAAAATTATCTATAGAATAGAAATTTTTATGTTAATAATTAATAAATTATTTAAGTATTTAATTGTATTTATATATATTGATTAATTTTGATTGTAACTTTTAAAATAAAATACTACTATTGAAAGTTTTTTTCAGATTCATGCCAGGGTTTTGGTTTCAACTCAACCTTGAATTTTAAATGTACCTGCATCTGAATCTTCCAGTGCTATGCTGGACGATTGGATAGATATTTTCAAAGTTCCCTGGAAAAGTTGCCATCTGAAATCATGGATTTGCTCCACAAAAATGCTTCTCTTTTCCCACAAATAACACGAAAGTACAATGATGAGGGTCATTTGTGATGATATACTTTTATACTTGTTTATAAAAAAATTCTATAAAAATCCGTTGCTTTTTCATTTTACTTTCATTGTATTTTTCAACTTTATCTACTTACACTACTAACCTACACTTTTTTCTATATTGCTACATCCTGATTATCTGCAACTGCTCGACATGCTTGCTCTACATTCTTTTCCTTTTTTTTTTACTGTGAATAATGATTTATTAATCGGATCTAATTATTATTTAGATGTACCGCAAAAATGAATCTGAAAAAAAAAATTAAATCCAAAAAAAAAAAGCCCGGTAGAAAAGCCTCACCCAAAAGTTTTGAATTTTGTAAACGAACTAGCGCTATTGAGTGGACAGAGCATCAATAGATCAAAAGATGTTTTGTTTATATTTATTATAACTATTATAATATAATATAATATAATATAATATATATATATATATATATATATATATATATATATATATATATATATATATATATATATATATATATATATATATATATATATATATATATATATATATATATATATATATATATATATATATATATATATATATATATATATATATATATATATATATATATATATATATATATATATATATATATATAATGACTTGTATAATATAGTATAATTTGTCATAATAAAATATTTTTTGTTATCATTAATATTATATAATATACAAAATATAATTTATATAATAACTACTATAATATAATATAATTTGTTTATATTTATTATAGCTATTATTACTTGATGTGTATTAGATTATAATTTTTAATCATTTAAAATTTATAAAAGTTTCTTAATAGTCGAATTACATTTTTATAACATCATATTAACTCTATTCATTTGTTTTTGACTTTTGCGTAAACTCTGTAAAATGAGTTAAATGTCTATTTGCTGAATTAACAGAGTTTTTCCGTTAACTTGAATGGAAAAAACAAAACGCGAAAACCGTAAATTTTACGGAGAAAGTGCTGTCTCTTTGCTGCTTGACATTCTCCATTAATTTTTACGGAAAAAATGAAATACAGAAACCGTCAATTTTACAGAGAAAGTTCTGTATCTTTTTTTACAGACTTTTTCAGTTAATTTCTACGAAAAATAGAAACTACGGAAACCGTTAATTTTTACGGAAAAAGTGCTGTCACTTAGCTGCCTGACATTTTCAGTTAATTTATACAGAAAAAATGAAATATAGAAATTATGAATTTTACGGAGAAAGTTCTGCATCTTTTATTATGGACTTTTTTCGTTGATTTTTACGGAAAATTGTTAATTTTTACGTTTAGTAGAAAACTACGGAAATTGTTAATTTTTATGGAAAAAGTGCTGCACTTTGCTGCCAGACATTGTTGCCAGACACGTTGAATCTACGGCAAATTATTTTACAGTTTATATGAGAGCATGATTGGTTACAAGGGAAAGACACCACATCTCCACCAATATATGCAAAACCAACGTCATTCTTGATTCGGGATTAAATTATGGTTTGTTTCAGACAGCAACAATGGCTATTTGTCTCAGTTTAAAAAGTCTTTTCAGGCACAGTGAGAGTAAACAGAAAAGGTCTGCCAGAAATCTGCCTCAAAACAAAATTAAAAAACAAAGAAGTTTGCAAATATAGAAAAAGTCCTTTGTTATGCATGGCATACCAAGATGGTAAAAAAGAACTGTATAACTGTTTACTGTTGCCAAAGGAGGCTTCACTGAATTAACAGTAGAGGCAACTTAGTTATGAATCCAAAGACCCTTTACAATGAACCAATGTTGCCCTTTACAATGAACCAGTTATGCATTAAATACATTGAATTTCTTAAATTCTTTTTAAAACTACAAAAAATAAAGTAAAACTCAAAATAGTCGTTTTTTCTTTTTTTTTTTTTTTTAAAGTTTAATTTCTCTGTACAGCATTCAAATCTTAAATGGTTAAAATTGGAAAATAATCATCTCAACAATGGTACGAGAAAATCTGAGGTTTTAAAATAACTATAAATCAAATGTTTGATTTAGTAACCACAGCTGACATGGTTCATGCGCAACATTACAATTTTTAAAACTGTTATAAGTGAGGAAAATTCCTTTAACAAACCTTTTTTAACAAAAAAATATTTTTTTATTTAAAGTATTAATATTTTTTGAATTGTTTTTAATATTTTCAATTGTTAAAGCACAACAATTATAACATTTCAATTAAGTTTTTTAAAATATTGAAATTATTAAAAACAATTTCAATTAAGTTTTTTAAACAATTGAAAATATTAAAAACAATTCAACAAAATATATTTAATTTAATAACTCAAATAAAAATTTCAATTAAGTTACAGTAAAACATGTACACAACATATACAATATACACAAATACATAATTCACACATAACTTTATATACACATTTTGTTTCTAATGTTATATGAATAGGATCCGCAATCTTCAGTAATGGCCAATCTGTAAACCCCTTAACAGTAAATTATGGTTATAATTAAGGTAAAGTGATACTTATATGTGACTGAGAGATATAGTCGTCACAAAACTGATTGAAATTTTCAGTTAAGAATTTTCCTCACTTGAACAAAAATATATTAAATACTGCATTTAAAGTAATGTGTTCAATGAGGAGAGAGCTGCCACAAAATGGAGAGAGCTGCCACAAAAAGGAGAGAGCTGCCACAAAAAGTTTTCCAACAGTTTTAAATATTATCATACAGACAATTTAGTTTTTGAACAAAAAATTTTTGGTTTAAATATTGCAAACGCTTTTATTAAAACAACAAAAAAATGGTGTGATTGCCAACCCACACCTATCACCCCAACCAGTGTTCTCACAATGCCACTGTATTTTAAAACAACCACCTTTGTAACAACTGCCACCAATTTCTTTATAACAATTATTAATTCCCTTATTAATTCACCATTATTAATTCCCTTAAACCCTGCAACAACAAAAATGCTGCCATCAAAAGACTTGCAATACTGAAAACACTGTCATTCTTTTTTTTTATATACAACTTGTTTGCTTTCCAAATTTATTTTTATATTTATAAATAAACATTAATACTAACTACAAATTTGTTTTCTAGATAAGAAAATGAAACTTGATGAATTAAAATGAAGGTGAATTAAACAAATTTATTATTATATATAATACATTTTTATAAAAACTTTTTTTATTATAAATATATTACATACATTCTATCAACTAATTCATAGTATCAATAAAGATTACAGAAAATAAAAAAATTATATGTATATAAAAACACATTAAATCTTATTTAATTAATTAACTTTTTTATCAAAAATTTAAATTTATACCAGAAGAAACAGCTTGTATTGCACCTTGTTGGCCTACAATAACTTCTCTAAATCGTTGTTCAAGGGGGTATCGTCTTCTTTCCTCAGATTCTAACAATGCTTGTTTCTCATTAAACTAAGTAAAAACTGAAAGTTCATCATCTTCATAGCATTAGAAAAACACAGCAAATTACAATTGTCTGTAGTACAGTAAAAAGGTATTTTATAATTATACCTTTTCCTGGTATTTTTTAATAAGGTTTTTATTTGACTCTTTATAAACATATTCATATGCAAAATGATTACTTTTATCTTTTATTGTAGGATCTGCTCCTGTTTATGAGTAAAAAAAATTTAACTAAATTTCAATATAATTATATTATTTTTGCTTTTAATTAAATTAACTATTAATGTATTTAATTTTTAATAAAGCCACATAATGATGATAAAAAATTGTTTAATAATCTATTATACCAGCTTCTAATAATAAGCATATTGTTTCATAGTCATCAGCGAGACATGCGTAATGAAGTGGTGTAAAACCAGAAAAATCTGCCCTATTATTTGTGGTTCTGTTAAAACAAGATTGTCTTGAGTCAATTACTAAAACAATATATATATATATATATATATATATATATATATATATATATATATATATATATATATATATATATATATATATATATATATATATATATATATATGCATATATATACATGCATATATATATACATATATATATATATATATATATATATATATATATATATATATATATATATATATATATATATACATTTATATATACATATATATACATTGATATATATATACATATATACATATATATATATATATATACATATATATATACATATATTTATATATATATATGTATGTATATATAAATACAACTCAACATATATATATAAAACATATCAATATACAATATTTTTTCTTTTTTTATTTGTTGTTTTATTCTGTTTTCTATAATTTAACTGTGATTAGAAAGATATGATTTTTTTGTAATTTAGTGTCTCCTTACATTTATAATTAACCCCCTGCCTCCCATTTCATATACATCATTTGCAGACCCACCTTCCTCATTCAAGTGTACGTACTTTATGGACGATCCCTTAGCCAGTTTAAGAATCAAACATTAAATTACAAATGGTAGCTTATCACCATTAAAACAAGGAAAATGTAGTCGAAAAGGAAAGACCTCAGAGAGAGGTGACTAATATCTGATACTGAAGAGTATCAAAAACCTAAAAAATAAAATAAAAAACCAAATGAATGATTTAGTTTCGCGAGACATCTATGTCTGCTCAAGTACTGTGTGGAGGAGGTCAATAGTTGTTAGGTTTGTTAGAAACCTTTTTTAAAAAGCAATTGCTTACAGATGTCATGAAGAAGAAGCTTGTCTTGTGGGCAAAGGAATACAGAGAGTGGACAAAGAACAACTGAGAAAAGTAAGATAAAATCATAAATTCAGTCTTTCACAGGAAGACGTCCGACTGCAAGTCTTTATATGACCACACAAAAAATAATATGTTTTGATGATTTGACCATAGCTTTTGACATATCTTCAAAATTTAAAAATGCGCTAAAAAAGCTTATCTAAACTTATCTAAATAAAACTTTAAAAAGACAAAAAAAATCTTAACGAAAAAGAAAATTAAAGAAAGAGCTCAACTAAAACAAAACTTATCAAGCTAAAATGTTTAGTCTATTTATTTTACGCATTCCTGTGAAAGACTGAAATTGTTAAATTTGCTTTATTTATACTATCATGCTTTTTATAATTAATATTTTTCATTAATCATAATTATTTTAAACCGAAACTATTAGATTGAAAAAACTAATTGTTAACTTGTTTGCTTATTGATTCCAGGTTTTATCAGATTTTGAAATGAAAGGCCAGCAATCAGTTTGTTTGTGGTAGATTATACAAAAACATAATCATTTTAATTTCTTTAACACCTTGTTAATCAAAATTTTTATCCAAATATTGATAAAATCAGGGCAAATGCCAATAGCCTACCTAAATAACTGTTAAGGCAGCCAATCCCTAGTCCAAAAAGTCTGTTTTAGACAGATTTTTTAGTGCCTGTGAAGTCATTTACTCGAAACTTATATACAGTAGTTATATACGAAAGTTATATTCTGTTGAAACCTATATACAAACAAACTTATCAATAAACTTACCATCAAAAACTCTTAACCCATGTCTTGAGGCAATTTTATATGCAGTGCTAAAATCATCTAACGCATCAGGATCTGCACCAGCATCAAGCAACATTTTAACTGCTCTAAAAAAATTAAGCAATACAAAGTAATTATAAATTTAATCAAAATTATCATATATTAAAAAAACATACCTGGCATTCCCAGCCATAGCAGCCGAGTGAAGTGCAGTCCATCCAAGAGGGTGCTTTTTGTTGACATCTTTACTGTTTTTAATCAATCTAGACAATGAAAAAACAAAATTAATACATATATGTATGTGTGTATATATATATATATATATATATATATATATATATATATATATATATATATATATATATATATATATATATATATATATATATATAATATATATATATATTAGGGCGGGTCATTTTTCAACTTTTTCTTGTAAATGCTTAGGCCATATGATTTTTAAATGTTTTGGCCCTTATATAAAAGTAATTGGTTTCTCCAATTGACTTAAAAACATCTTTTATGGAATCCTCAATCCCAAATACCCTTAATTAGACACCTAGAAAGTCATTTTAGCTTAAAAACTTATAATTATAAAAGTTGAAAAAAATCGTTAATTTAGATATATTTTGCTGGAATATCTTGTGTAGTTACAATAAGATGTTTTGGTTAAACTTAAATTTATCTAGCAGATCATATGAAAAAAACTTATGAAATATCATTCATAAGTTGCTGCATTTGAATTGCCGCATTTTAAACCGTTGCTTTAGCATCTGAATTTGCTGCATTTGAGTTGACATGTTAAATCTACAATAAATATTGTTTATAAACTATTGATAGCTTTGAGTTCTTTATTGATGGCTAAACGAACTCGTAAAAGTAGTCAAAGTTGCAAACTAAGAGTTATGATTGGTTTTGCAAGTGACTTTTTAGATTCTGAGTTACCCACATTAAGAGATGTTATAAAGTATGGTTTGCTTAAACTGCAAAGCAAATGCAAAACTTAAAGATACATGCAAAAAGGTTTTCTCTAAAGTGAAAATACAATGGTTGAAAGCGAATCCTGAAATTCCTATTGTGACGGACAAACTGGGTGTTAATAAAATAATAAAAGTCTGGAAAAAAGCTACCGATATTATTAACTACAGGTGTAAACCTGAAATTATTTTTAAGTTCAACTCTACTCTGGACAAGCTATTTGATATAGCAAAGTGCAAGTGTGACATTGTTTCTTGTGAAGAGGCAAGTTGTAATTCTTGTAATTTTAAAGCGCATATTTCTTGTCAATGCAATAGAGAAAACAAAATTCCTACAATAGACTTCAATTTATGAAATTTCAAAGAGAAAAATTTGGAACAAAAAGTAGTATGCAAATGGGTGCTTTGGATTTAAAAAAAACCAATAGACAAGAAAAAAATAATAAAAGAAAGGCCACTGGAAAAAAGAAGCCACAAATAGAATACCTATCTTTTCATTCTCAAGAAAATGAAATCGAAGAAACAATTGATAATATTGCGAATACTGACAATGAAGATGTTGTTTCTGACAATAGTTTTGAGTACATTAGTAGACAAGTTTCGAAAAAGACAGTGTTTGACAGTGAAATAGTGACCGTAAGAAAATTGAAAGATCTAAATTGAAGGTGATGAAACAATTAAAATCTGAAAATGATAATGTTGTAAAAGATGGAGTTCAATGCATTTTATTTGATGGAAGAAAGGATGAGACAAAATGTTCTTTGATGGGAGAAGATGGAAAATTTCACCACAGACTTGTTCAAGAAGACCATTATTCGGTTTGTGCAGAGCCAGGTGGTTTATATCTGTACCATTTTACAAATGATAAAGAAAACCGATCTAAGTGTAATACCCCATCAGAGCACATAGCAGAACATATATATAAATGAATTATTAAACATGGGGTAGAATCAACTCTAGTTGCTGTAGGCTGTGATTCTACCAATCTTAATACAGGTAAATGATTGATAATAAATACAGGTAAATATTTAATAATAAATGTCATACATATATTTAAACACAATTATTTTTTAGGTTGGAAAGGAGGTATCATTCATTTTTTAGAAAAAACACTTCAAACAAAATTTATTTGGATAGTTTGCGCTTTGCACACAAATGAACAACCCTTGAGGCACTTAATGTCAATTATTGACGGGAAAACAACTTCAAATAACAAGGCAATATTGGTAAACTTGTTCCTATTGCCAATGATCTCATAATTTCCACTGTGATTCAAGATATAGATACTGAAATTAATTTATTAGATATTGATGAAAATATTATAAAAACTTTATCGAGTGATCAAAAATATCTATACTGAATAACAAAGGCTATTAAAAATAAAATAATACCCAAAAATTTAAAAGAAATTCAAGTTGATCCCCACAATAATGCACGCTGGTTGAATTTGGCAAGTAGACTTTGCAGAATTTGGTGTTCAGAGCATGGACTAAATAAAAATGATGTTGAGAATTTAAAACAACTTGTACAGTTTTGTGTTGGTGTATATTCTGTATTATGGTTTGAAATTAAAGCAAGAAATGTTTATATGTAGTTTGATAATCATCTATTTATTTTTGAAAAATGTATTATTAATGTTTAGGTAAAACATAAATGGACCAATGGACCATACCATATTATCAAACAGCTGGAACTTGTCCGAGAAATGAACTTAAATATTCAACAAGCAGTTTTGCCCTATGTTTGCTCCTCTGCCTGGAATGCTCATAGTGAATCTATTCTACAAGCATTAGCACTACTAAGCAGCAAAGATAAAGAGGAGAGAAAATTTGCAGTGAATAAAATACTTTCAATAAGGAGTTCGAGCTCCCTAGGAATTACTGCTGTTAGACCAAGAAATATCCTAAATATAAATACTAACGCTGAAACTATTATCGAATTGATTGATTGGAGTAATGATATTTATGAACCTTTGCTCACATGCAAATTGGTAAAGAAGAACTTATTAAGTTTTTAGAAGTCCCAATGGAAGTTCCAGAATTTCCTGTACATGGGCAATCCATAGAAAGAATTGTGAAAGAAGTTACAAGAGCTTCCAGTATAGTTTATGAACAGGAAAGACGAGACGGATTTATAAAGGCAACAATAGCTCACAGAGAACTTCTTCCTGTTTTAGAATATAAACAGAACTTGCTTAAGCTTTTTTAAGCAATAAGTTTATATTTATTGTATGTTTAGTAAAATTAAGTTTACTCTTGCATTGTGAATGATAAATTGGTAAATACTGCTATAAACAATAATTAATGGTTTTTCATGTTTCTAATTGGTTGTGTCTCGCATTGTGGTTGAGAAATCCTTTGAAACTGTTTTGCTGCATTACGTTCAAATAACATTGTTAGGGAAGATATTACAGTAAAATATATCAAAAATAACGGTTTTTTTCAACTTTTATAATTATAAGTTTTTAAGCTAAAATGATTATCTAGGTGTCTATTTTTGAGCCAATTGGAGCGACCGGTCAAAAGTTGTGGCAAACTGCATATATAGCGTTTTTTCCCAAAACCTCAATTTTTTAGGTCAAAATTTGAAAACCTAAAAAAAAAATATTTTTTTTTTTGGATTACTTTTATATAAGGGCTAAGACATTTAAAAATCATATGGCCTAAGCATTTACTGAGAAAATTTGAAAAATGACCCGCCCTAATATATATCAACCCTTGGGATTAGGAAAAATGAGGTCAGCAATAAATTGTCAACCTCAAACTGTTAGAGGCCGACAAAAAAAAATTGACACAAAGGGGTTGCGATAAAACATAGAAACAAGGTCGGCTAATTTTCCCCAACCTTTAATACTTTAAGGTCAGCAGTTAGGTCGGCGTAGCCGAATGCTGATCCTGATTTCGTTTTAAGCAGGTACTTTCAAAAAAGGTACTTTTCAAATAAGAAAAATACAAGGTTATTTTCAACTCTTTATCTGGATTATTGTTATTGTTGATGAACCAAAATCTGGCAATAAACTCTGGCACCATTATATACCTTCAGATAGTAAATGTCAAAAAATTAATATTAAAAGAAGACTAGAAATACAAACAAAGATATGTATTTAAACATTTGAACATTTACTTGGCACTAGCAATAAAAAACAAAAATATAATAATTAGGTCGAATGTTTACAAAAAATTTAATTCATTCAGCAATTGCATTTTTGTCATTGTTTATGATAAATTGAGTATTATTTTATTCAATTATTAGTTTTTTATTGGCAAAACTACCACAGAACATCATCTATTGATTTAGCACTCCAAACTATTTAAATTTAAGTGCGGCTTAAAATACTACCACTACTATTGCTATAATTATCTTTGAACATTTTTCTTTCTTTTTATTATATATTTGTTAAATATTAAACACTTATTAAACATTAATTATTTGAAAATTATTTAAAAATTCAAGGAAAGTTTTTTTTTTTAAATTTTTAGTAGATTTTTGTTAGAATCTACTAAAAGTTCAGCTTTATACTCCTGTCTTAACAGAAAGTCAAGACAGGAGTATAAAGATGAGTCATCAGCAAATAGACCTTTAGATGTAAAATTTTCAGGATGATCATTAATATAGATGAGAAACTATATAGAATCAAAGGTTTTTTTTACTTATAATTATTGATCCTAGACCCTTATTTATGGAAATAATTTATTTATTGAAAAAACCGATTCCCCCCACATTAAGAGTGATGCCTACTTTTTAAGGTATTTTTGTTCTCAGGCTTTATTCAGAGCAATTTTTGACAAAACATCCATATATGACACAATTATGACGTTACAAAAATTGGAAATTTGAAATTTACCTGGAGGCTACTTAACTCAAGTACCAAAGAATTATAGATTTACATTATTATATAGATCAAATAATTATTCAATTGTTAAAAAAATAATTATAAAATTGTAAATTCTAATTTTAAATTTATGTGAATAAAAATAAAATCTAATTTTGAATTTATGTGAAAATCTTATTTATTTGCAACAGAAAGGTTTGTTTCATCATAATTAGTACTTCCAATACCGGTAGTAGCAATACCGGAATACCAGTGGTACTGGACTTTTTCAAGTACCAAAATACAGGTATTGGTTTGGCTCAATACCGGTATTAAAAATATATGTAGAGGGTTTGTGATATAGCAGATGAGAAAGCCCTCTTTAAGCGAAATGCAAAATTAAATGATATATTTAAAACTTCCAACAAGGCCTATTCTAGGAAAAAAATTTGGGCAGTGGTACCCCCTCGTTTTG